TGACCTTGGCTTAAATTTGAATTTAAGGCTGACCTTGGCTTAAATTTAAAGCTGACCATCACTTTAGGAGTTACTCTTAACTCACAGTCTATCTTCTCCAAACACACAGAAAAACTGGGGGAATCCATAGAATTCTGTTAATTTAAAACTTTGAGAGTGCAGGGGTTGGAAGCAGCGGAGCTGGAGCTGGGAGGGAGATCCCTGGGTGGTTTTTCCAGGAGGTTGCACAATCAGGAACTTCTCTCTCCCATTTTCTGTGTTTTCCTGATGAAAACACTTGCTCAGATCACAAAATTGTGATGGAGAATAGCTCAAAGTGTGGAAACTGCTGGGAACCAGTTTGTGCTGGGAGTTACTGGGATAGGTGAGGTCTCTGTGCTGTCCTCTGGCATGGGAGCATTCCCAGCCCCCTGGAATTCTGCTGAGCACTCCAGGATGCTGCTGCTTCCCTTGATCCCCACCCAGTTTGGCACTGGGATCTCCCAGGAGGAAAGAGCTGGGAAGCACCAGTGTTTTGAACCGCAGCCATTCCCAGGAAAGCCCAGAAACAGCTGGAAATTGCTGCTGTTGTGTCCTGGAATGCTGGGATGGACAGGGAAGGTGGCCCTGACCTCACCCTCTGTGTCCACCCCACCATGTGTGTGCCTGCAGAGCTGCCAGGCTTCAAACAACAACAAAAAAGGCTTTTTAGAAATGCAATATTTACCTGGGACACCATTTCGTGCAGCAGAACCACGAAGTCAAACTGCAGATATTCATCACTTCTCCTCTGGAAAGACAAGGTGAAAAGGGCTGAATTTGGGGCTTCTCCCCACCCACAGAGCAGGGAGTCGGTTCTCTTTGGTTATCCCAAGAATTCTCTGCTGTATTTCAGGTAAAACTGGCAGCTTAATATAACCAATAAAGCAGGTGGAGCTCAGTCACTGTGACAAAACAAAAAAGATCCTGATCTGTGTTTTTGTCACTCCAAACTTGCACTGGAGAGATGAATGTGAGGCTTAAAACTCTGCCAATGCCTCCCTTAAAGAAATCAGATAAATATCAACTGCAGGAATTCCTTTGGGATGGGAACACCTCCTTCTACAAGGTGTCACTTTAACCCAGATAATCCCAAATCAAACTGTCAGTAGGATAAGGACACATCCCAGAGGCCTCACAGGGATTCTGTGAGTGACAAAATACACACTGGCCTTTGGAATATGCTCTTTTCCCATGTATTTTTCAGGGAAAAGGAACAAAATTCCCCAAGAGAGGTGGCAGCTGGGTTAATTTAATAGTTTTCTGTCTGCCTTGTCCTCAGATTTTTTTAAAGAGGGGTTTAAAATCCTTAAACTCTTGCTGGTGCACAGCCCTGCAGCAGCTGTGAATTGCTCCCAGATGCCATCAGAGGGAGCAAAACATTCACAAATCCTGCTCCCTGAAGGAATTTGTCTCTCCTTCATCCCCAGCACTTCCTGGGAATTCTGAGTGGCAAAAACATTTGGGCTTTGGGTTCTCTTAAATCCTGTTTCTTTTTCCTGGCTCACATGCAAAATTGCCTCAGATTTAAAGCTGACCAGCCCTTTAGAGGTTATTCTTAACTCACAATATATTTTTTTTTTCCAAACAGAGCAGAGGAATTAGGGAGAATCTATAGAATTCTATTAATTTACAAATCAAACCAAAAGGACTTGGCTGTGACAGTAAGTTTTGTGAAAGCAAAGTGCTCTCTCTCACTTGAGCCTGTTCCAGGCAAGGGGTCTGTCAGGCCTGGTGGTGGCAATTAATGACTCAATTAATGTCAGGAGCTACAGTGAGATTTGCCAGGTTTTGATTCCTGAGCTTAGGGCAGATCCAGGTGTGCTCAAGATAAATCCATCCCTTGTAACCACCCAGAAATAAAACAGGAAATATTTTATCCTGGAATATTCTGTTCCCTTTCTCCCTCGTCTTCCCCTTTTGTGTTCCTCAATTCAGGTTTCTTACCATGATGAGCATCAATTGAGTTTATGGTAAGGGAAGTCCAAGAGCTCAAAATAAAAATCCCTTTTTAGGTTCTCTCCCCTAATTGCTGTTTGATTAGAGGGAAGGGGTAGTGGAACAAAATTCAAACACTGGATTGGATTCTTAAAACCAAAGCAGAGCAAGAAGTTCAGACATAATTGACGTTTCCTGAATGTGGATTTTTAAGAATGTGGATCCAGCTCTGCTCTAGTCCCTGCTCAGCTCCTAAACACTATTTTTCTTGCAGAGCATTGGGAGCCAAGGCCAAGTTGGAATGTGTGTCAGGGGAAAGAAGTGGAGGAGAACACCCTGGGAGTGTCCAAGGCCAGGTTGGACGGGGCTTGGAGCAACCTGGGCTAGTGGAAGGTGTCCCTGCCCATGGCAGGGGATGGGACTGGATGGGCTTTAAGGTCCCTTCCCACCCAAACCACCCTGGAATTCTGTGACTGATGGAGACTTACCACCTGCTTCACATGTTTGATTTGGGCCAGCTGGAGCTGGGTGTTTTCTGTGGAATTCTGCCACACCAGGTATCCCGAGGCGACCCAGGCCAGCAGGTGGAGGGGCTCCAGCTCTGGGGGCACGTGGCCATGGCTGTCTGGGAAACAAAACAATTCCTGGGGGTTAAACAAGAGCCAGCAACAGAACTTCATCACCTGGTGCTAAAGTCACTCCCTTCCATGTCACAAAACCTTCCAAGGGATCTTGGAAGAGCTGCTCCATCCCCGCAGTGATTCCTCCTGTGGAATCACAGAATGGTTTGGGTTGGAAGGGACCTTAAAGTTCATCTCATTCCACCCCCTGCCATGGGCAGGGACACCTTCCACGAGCCCAGGTTGCTCCAAGCCCCATCCAACCTGGCCTTGGGCACTTCCAGGCTGTTCTCCTCCACTTTTTTCCCCAGACATATCAAGTTTTCAGTGCTCTGAAGTCGGAGCAGCCCCTCGTTGTGCATCAGGGTGTGGGATGTGCTGTGCCAAGGACAGCCCAGAGGGAGCAGGAGGAGGTGACAGTGGCAGGTGGTTCTGCAGAACAGCCACGTGCAAATCAGGCCTCAATTCTGGATTTTAGGAATCAGAATAAATTGAGGAGCTGTGACTGACAGAGCCCCAGACAGAGAAAGGGAAGCAGCACGTGTTCAGAGCAGGGGGGAGGCCTGATCCTTCTCCCCCAGCCCCAGCCTTGTACCTGGGATGTTCTCTGCCACAAGCTCTTTTTCCAGGCTCCTGATTCGAGTGTAGAACACGTGATCTGCTTCCTCTGTGCTCTTTAGTTCTCCTTCAAGTGTGAACTGCACATCTGGAGCAATGTTTTTGTTGCCCAGATGATACAGAACCTCAGCAGTGCAGTTAACAGTACTGTCCTGTCACAGAGTTAATTATGTGCATTAATATTTCATTAAGTACATGTATAATGTGGGTAATTTGCACTTCTAACATGTCTTTTTTTTTTATGGAGTTGCTGTTTTCTCCGAGTCTGGCCCAGAGAGATTTGTGATTATTTAAGACAAGGTTAAATTCATGGTTTATGTGTGAATGCATAAAGGTGATTTGCTTTCTGCAGTGATGGGAAGGGCAGTGGGTGAGGTGCAGAATGTCCCTTGTGCTGTTCACTTGGAGCTGAGTGACACTGAAATGTCCTTGTCATCCCTCCAGCACTGTCTGGAGTGGAAGGTACCACATGGGCAGGGCTTTTATGGTGGTAAAATTTAGCCTTTTTTTGCCTGATTTGTAGGGTAGAAAATCAGAAACATGATTCTAAATATGATTAATTGGTGTGCCCCCTGGCCTGAGCCAGAGCAGCAGCATAAAGTGAGTTTATGACACATCAGTGCTGCCAACCTCTGCCCTCAGAGTGTTTAATTAAATCAACCTGAACTCACTTTGTCCAGGACATCTTCCAGCTCCAGTTCCAGGTAGTACTTGTGCCCAACATCCTTGATGTCCTGAGAAAGGGAAAACATTAAGGATGTTTATTTTGTCAAATGTTGAATGACTTTGCACAGTGGACAAGATCAGGGAATCATGGAATGGTTTGGGTTGGGAAGGAATTTAAAACTCATCCAGTCCCACCCTGCCATGGGCAGGGACACCTTCCACTAAGCCCAGGTTGCTCCAACCTGGCCTTGGACACTTCCAGGGATGGGGCAGCCACAGCTTCTCTGGGCAACCTGTGCCAGGGCCTCCCCACCCTCATTTCTAGCCCCTTAATTAACATTTTGGGGCTCCCCATGTGATTCCATCCAGCAATGAGCTGCTGGTTAAATACTCAGGTGGGAATGTTCAGTGACTCCACCACTGAAGTCCCTTTTGCAGTTTGTTATGAATCACCTCATGGAGCTTTTTGGCTGTAATGACTGAAGTGGGTGGGGGGTTGCTGTGCCCCTGTTTTGGGGTTTCGTGCCCTGTTCTCACAGGTGGGGTTTGCTGTGCCCTGTTCTCATGGGTTTCCCTGTAACCCAGCCCGGGTGAGCAGCGAGGTGTGTCCCGGCAGCCGCACTCCGAGCACCCTCCTCCCTCCTGAGTGTCCTTGGGAGGTTCCCCGGGCCCGCTGCCACCGTGGGAACAGCACAGGGTGTATTCCACCTTTCCAGCCTGCCCGACTGCTCCCAGCCCCCGGGCTGTTCGGGACCCACAGATCCTGCCGTGACCCCCAAACGTGGGTGGGCAGAGCCGCCGTCACCCCCGCGGTGACACAGAATCCCGGGATCGCGGGGGTCGGAGGGGACCTGGAGCGGGTGGCACAGGGACGCTCCGGGTGGGATTGGGGTGTCTCCAGAGAGGGGACTCCACGGCGTCCCTGGGCAGCTGTCCCCGAGCTCCGGCGCCCTCCTGGAGGGCAGTTCTCGGGGGTTTAATCGCCGCTCCCGGTGCCGCTCTCACCTCGGTGCGCGCCCGGCGCAGCTCCCGCAGCCGCAGCGCCCGGGCGGGGCCGCCCCGCCGGTACCGCAGGAACGCCACGGCCACGGCTGCGGCCCGGCGGGATGGGAACTGTCCCGGGGGCAGCTCCATGGCCACGGCCCGGCCCGCTGGGAACTGTCCCGGGGGCAGCTCCGTGGCCACGCAGCTTCCTCCGCCCGCAGGAAGGCACCGGCTCGGGGAGGGACCGAGAGCGGCGGGTCCCGCCCCGGGGAGCGGGCGGGGACGGAGCTGATGCTGCCGAGGGAGCGCGGGTCGGAGAGAATGAAGGGTTTAGCTGCGAACAGGGTTAGGTGGGATAGTGGGGAGAAATCCTTCCCTGTGGGGAAGAGGCACAGGTTTTGCCCAGAGAAGCTGTGGCTGCCCCATCTCTGGGTTGGAGCAACCTGGGCTAGTGGAAGGTGTCCCTGCCCGTGGCAGGGGTGGACTCCATAACCTTTACATTCCCTTCCAACCCAAAGCAGTCTGGGGTTCTATGAGCTGCAGAATGGGAGTTTTTCCCTGGGGTGGCAGCAGGTTCAAGTGTTTGGGGTGTTGTTTGTTTTCAGGTTTGAATTCACCCACAAGAAGCAGTCAGGAGGGGCAGGCCAGTACGGCAAAGTCATCGGGGTGCTGGAGCCCCTGGATCCCGAGGACTACACAAAAGTAGAGTTTGAAGACAGAACCGTTGGCACAAATATTCCCAAACAATTCGTGCCTGCTGTGGAAAAGGTACAAACCATTTGTGTGCTACAGCAAATACTGACTTTTGTGTTTTCTTGCCATATCATCCACATTTGCTGTGCTGGCCTTGCCACAGGCAAGGGGGCTTTTCCCATTTCTTCGGTGGAAACAGAATCATCTGTGTGGTTTTACCTCATATCTCACATTCCTGGGTTTTCCACTGCCTTTAGAAGCTGCTGTGTTTGCTTTGGTGGTGTGTGCTGACTCTGTTTCCCTGGCAGTGCCTCCTTTCCTTGCTCACAGTCCAACAAGCCTCCTGCTCAATCTGCTTCTTACTGACCCTTCTGCTTTTGGTTGTGGCCCCACAATTCTCATCTCTAACCCCAAAATATGGGACTTTTTTCTGTGACTTCTCTGAGGCCAATTATGTAGGAAGCTGCAATTAAGCTGCATTTCCTGCCTGAATTCCCAATTCGTCTCTGAATTCCTTTTTCATCTCTGTGACTGTCTCTCTGTGAGATTTATCACATACTATTTTAATTAGCCTGCCATCATCTTGGAATTCCTATGGTAACCCAGAATAATTCCTTTATTATTCTATGATGCAACACTTGAAGATTTTTGCAAAATCCTGAAAAAAACACACGGTCCTAAAGGATTCTTGTTCTCCAGGCAGGAGCTCTTTCCACACAGAGCATTCTTTGGGGTTTTGGCCATACAGTCCCTTACAAAGCCAAACCCTGAGGGCAGTTTTCCTTGTTCCTTGGTTTTTAGTTTTAAAAAGTGTCAATATCCAGCTGAGGTGCCAAAGTCTGACAGCACAGAGGTTCCAGATTCCTGGTGCTGACTCGGAGCTGTTGTTCCAGGGATTCCGAGATGCCTGTGAGAAGGGTCTGGTGTCCGGGCACAAGATCTCCGGGATCAGGTTCGTCCTGGAGGATGGTGCCCATCACATGGTGGACTCCAACGAGATCTCCTTCATCAGGGCAGGAGAAGGAGCCCTAAAACAAGGTAGGAGCTCCTTGCTTGGATGTGTCCTGGCTGTTATTGCTGGGGCTGAATTTAACAGCCTCATTTCTGTAGGTTCATTTGCTATTTGGGGTATCCATCCATCCACCCATCCATCCATCCATCCATCCACCCATCCATCCAAAGTTTGGCCACTTGTGTAGAGCACAGTGTAAGAGTTTATGGAATTTTTGAGGGAGGCAAAACAGTTCTTGTGGTTCTGTGAAGGAGATCCTGTTTTCCTGGAATGCAGTACAGAAACACCAGCAGCACCATCCTTACAGGGTAGGCAGAGAACATTTGGTCAAACTGTGCCTTTTTTAGGAAAAATGTCTTCACTGGAGGAGTGGTGAAGCGCTGGGACAGGGAACTGGTGGAGTCACAATCCCTGGAAGTGCCCAAAAAACGAGTGGATGTGGCACTTCACAACATGGTTTAGGGTCAGAGGTTGGATTTGATGACCTTGGAGGTCTTTTCCAACCTTAATGACTTGTGATTATGGTGTCAGGAATAACAAGCAGGGGAGCTGGAATTCCATGGAGCTGCTTGTTTTCCCTCTCTAGGCATTGACATGAACCATTTGTTACTGTGCATGGCAGTATCTTAACCTACCCCAGGCTCGTGATGCTGGATTGTTTCTCCCGCTGTTTTTCCCAGCCATGGAAAACGCCACAGTGCGAATCATCGAGCCCATCATGGCCGTGGAGGTGATGGCTCCCATGGAATTCCAGGGAGCTGTGATCGCCGGGATCAACCGGCGCCACGGGGTCATCACGGGGCAGGACGGGGCAGAGGGGTACTTCACCCTCTATGCTGAGGTTTGTGTTCTTCCCAGCTTTTCCTTTCCTTCTGTTGCCTTTGACTCCATCCTTAGTTTATGTGGATAAACTTGGAGCCAGGTTGACTCATTTTCCATGTTCCCTTTCTTATGTCCCTTGTAAAAAATGTGTGTTTTCCTGTTGGGTGGTGGGAGGGAAAATCATCTTGGGAAAGCCTTGGCTTTGGGCTGCACTGCATCCCTTCTGCTTCCTAAATTGAGGAATTTAATCAGAGCTCCAGTCTGGAGTTATCTCAAACCTTGTGATCTCTGGATGACACAGCCCTGAATCCAGGATATTCCATTCCTGGTGCATTCAGACTCTCAGATTTTTCAAGTTTCCTGCTGAAAACACGTTGCAAGTATAAATCAGTTAAAATAACAGGTGCTTTACAACACCAGATCATTCAATCCGAGCTTTTTACAGGCAGCACTGACTCTTTGGATCAGAATTGGGATTAATTAGGTGGTGACTCAAAGCTGATGGAAAAAGTGTTTTGTTTTTACAAGCCTGTGTTGGATTTCAGGTGCCACTGAACGATATGTTTGGATACGCCACCGAGCTGAGGTCCTGCACAGAGGTGAGTCCTCCACGTCCTTTTTGCCTAAAGGTGTTTATTTCTCTAAATTTGGGCTACTTTGCATCATTGTATCCATAGCACCTGCAGCAGGGAAGGAGAGAAAAACCAAACCCAGAGCTGGGTCATTCCTGCTCAAAAAAATTCTTCCATGCTTTGGGTTTTGTTTGTGTGGGATTGGGAAGGATTCTTGGGTGTTGTTTCACAGACGAGGGTGTGACCTGCTGCTCAGCACCGTTACACGTGTCCCATCCTCACCTGGACTTTCTTTTCCCAATTTTACAGGGAAAGGGGGAATATACCATGGAATACTCCAGATACCACCCGTGTTCACCCAGCACTCAGGAGGAAATAATCAACAAATACCTGGAAGCAACGGGGCGACTTCCTGCCAAAAAGGGCAAAGCCAAGAGCTGATCTGACTCCTCTGGAGTCCTTTGAACAGTTTTTCCCAATCTCCTCCAGCAGCTGAGTTTTCCAAGCCATGGAAGCAGGCAAGGCTGGCTGGGGAAGGCAGGCTGCAGTGGGATTTGGACTTGGAATTTTGTCATCATACCCTTCCTCTGTGGAATTCTCAGGAACCACCAGAGGATCACAGCGGAATTGTTCACATGTAAATGCTGTCCTTAACAAAATAGATGTTAAAACACGGCTGATAATTGGTCTTGAAATTTGTCTTAATTAAGTTCTATTAAAATAATTGTATTTTTTACTCGATACATCATTATTGTGTAGTTAGGTTTGGGAAGTTTGAAGATGTTGAGGCAGGAGAGTCAGGTAGGAGCTGGTGGACAGGCACAGGGAGTGAGTTGTCAGCCCACCCTGAGCACTTCTCACAGGGTGTTCCCAGCTTCCCTCCAGGGAAAAATGCCACTTTTCCCTCCAAATCCTCCAGAAATGGCTCAGGATCCTCCAAAGTCTCCACCCACTGGGCAAAACCGTCGCTCAGTGCCACTGCCCTGGCACCAAATCTGCTCTTCACTGGTGGCACAAGGGAGTTGAGAAGGGTGTTGGTAGGAGTTAACTCTTCCCAAAGCTGGGAACAACGTGGAATTCCTGTATGGGCTTGTCATGTGGATTCATTGTGTGGGCTTGACTTTGGCTCTCTGTTAGAAAACCAAACCAGAGCTTTCTCTTCCCAGAATCTCCCAATCCCGAGGGTGTCCAGCAGGAATCAGTTGACTGAAATCTTGCTGACTCATTGCAGAGACAAAACAAGGACCTTGGAGTTCCACGGGAAGGAGGAGATATTCCCATAATTCTGTATTTTTAATGACTCCCAGAAGGTCCATGTTGAAGTCTCTCTCTCCCTTCCTGACCTCCTCAGCTTAACAGACTTCCAGTAACCGGGGGATGAAGTTCCAGTTCAGGCCCAGCGACATTCCTGGCACAGGATGATTCCCAGACACAGCCAGGAGTGCAGCAGCCAGGCTTCTCCACAGAAGACAGGGAAAAGGAGTTATTTTGGCCTTGGGAACAGATTTGTGAGCACATGGAGGTGCTAACAGGGCTCAGGCTCAGGGTGGTGTATCCGTGTGGTGTATCCGTGTGGTGTATCCATGTGGTGTATCCATGTGTGTTGCTTTGGGACAAATCCCTGATTCCCCCCCATCCACAGCTTTGTTGTTGTCGACTGCTCAGCTGGAATTGATTTCCAGGAAAGCCCTGCAGGTCCTCAGACATTGGGAGATTTTCTTGAACAACCTTTTACCAAAATTCAGGGTTGTCTTATGAAAGCAGTGTGGAAACAGGAAAGGAACGGGGTGGTTGGGATTTTATTTATATTTATGGTTTTCCTGCTCTGCTCAGGCCACTGTGATGTGAATTCCTGGCTCGTGGGTGCTGCCAGATGTGCTGGTGCTCCACAAATCCAGAAAAAACCAAAACCCCAAGAATTTTGCTGTGTGATTTTAGGTTTCAGGCTGAAATCTTGGCCTGAAAGCAGCTGCCTTAGAATTGCAACAGCTTTGCTGCTTCTCCAGAAGTTCCTGTGGAGTAGTTGGGAGTTACACCGACCTGGTGACTTGGAAGTGCCCAATCCTCTGGTCTGGGTCTGCAGAGTGGCAAAAACAAGGTAAGGACACTAAAGTAGAGCCCCAAAGTGCAAAATCCATCCCATTTTCTTGTTTATATTTCAAAAACTATTTTAATCACCAGCTTCTTTAAGAAATGTTGAACTTCTCAGCTCTGATTTCATACTTTTGATGAGGAGAAATGTTCTACCAGCACAGAAGAAAACACCAGGAGGACGTGGGATGTTGTTCCTTGAATTTATTGGGGTGCCTGGTGTGTGCTGAGAGAAAAAGCTTCTGTCAGGAAATCAGGTTTAACAATCTGTGTGTGTAAAACACTGGAATTTGGGGGGTTGACATCACCCAGTTTAAATACATGCAGGGAAAACTGTCCTGTGAAATCCTGGAATCATTGTTACTGGTTACAGATCCAGGATAATGAAAACCACCACAAACTCCAGAGAACAGCCATCCCAGCACCTGCTTCCCTCGGGAATGGGGTGTTCTTGAGAAGGATTTCATCTATCCTGGCAGAAATCTGGCAAATGGGGAGAAAAAAGGTGAGTTTGAGACAGTTTGGCACAACCTCGGAGAGCAGAGGTGGGATGGTGGTGGATCTTCTGGGAACCCAACTGGAGGATTTGGAGGCAAAGGACAAACCCACGACTTTGTGGTGTTTAGGATGGGAACAGGACAGGGCAGGAACCAAGAAGAGCTGTTTGAGGGGTGTCCTTCCCATCTCAAATGTGGGAATTCATCCATCTGGAGCCTTCCTGGCTCTCTCTGCAGGTCTGTTTTGGTTTAGAGTTTCCAGAGAAGGTGGAAATTTGGGGTCCAAGAGCAGCACAGTGAAAGAAAACCCAGCCTCGCCCCTGAGTGATGGTATTTGGTTTATTGGAGAGGTGAGTTGAACACCAGCATGATTCCAGCCCGAAAAATGACCCAAAAAATTAGTAGGCAAATATTTCTTAATGACAGATTAATACTTTCCTGGAGATTTTTTTTTACCTAAATATATTACCTTTGTTTACAAACTCTACGTAACAGTTAATTAATGACATAAAATCAACCTGTGTATGTTCATCTGTGTATATGTGCAGTAGCAAAGGCTTTAGGTAGAACTCTCTAGAAGTTGAGTCTTGCAGTTTGAGAAGTGACAGGAAATAATTTTGGCACAGGGCAGAGTAGTGAAAGCATCCCAATCACTGACTTGTGTGGAAACCCGACGCCGGCTCCAGCTCTGGTGGCACAAGGATTTTTCTCCCTGAATCCATGGATTCTGACACTCTGTCTCAGAAGTTGGCCCCCATTTCCTCTGACAGCCCAGCAGCTGATCCTGATCCCAGCCCAGATCCGTTCTCCAGCCCGTGGGTCTTGGAGGGACAGAAGTGTTTCACTTTCAGAGGCCGCCCAGGGAGCCACGTGAGGCGCATGTGGCAGGAAATCATCTCCTGCAGGAGGGATTGAAAAACACCTCTTTTGTAGAGAAATACTGATTTTATAGGTGTGTACTCATCACCTTTGCACTGCCCATCTCCTGGGGACAGGAGGGATTACCCTGTTTCTTACCTGTGTTGGCATTTCATGGAGCAGGACAGTGTAGTCAAACTCAATTAAATCATCTTTCCTCATCTGGGTATGGAAAAAAAGAGAAGGATTATCAGGAACACAAGTTTACATTGTTGAAGTTTAATTTCTGCTTTGATTTACTTGGCTGCACTGAGCTTGCTTAGGGACTGTGGTTGCTGGCTGGAGTGAGGTGGGTTTTGATCATGGAAAGACAGGGAATTAGGAGCACTTCCTGCATGGAATTCTTGAAGGCAATGACTGCTCTGTGGTTCTGCAGCCCCACTCCCTGCCATGAAACCAGGCTGGCTCAGGTGCTAATTCATCAAGTTTAACCCTGTGATGGATTTGAGAATATTGCCTGTTAATCTCTCCTTCAGAGAAAGCTTGTGCTGAATGGAGCAAAAACTGGGATCACAGGGACACAGAGCTTTGGGAGCTGCTGTTTGATGTGCTGGGGGGTCAGACCTGTCCCCTATAGAGGTGTTTTGGGGGACACAGAGCTTTGGGAGCTGCTGTTTGATGTGCTGAGGGGTCAGACCTGCTCCCCAGGCAGGTGTTTGTGCCAGGTCTGAGCCTGATGGTGCCCGTGAGCCTCACAAAGGGTCAGAGGGTGTGGGAGTGACCTGGTGTGGGGCTGAGGAACTGCAGGACCTGCAGAAGCCACTCATGCAACGAGGAAAGCCAAATTTTGTCCAAATGAGTGAAGTTTCCCACCAACACCTGGACAAAGTGCTTGTCCAGAGGTGGAGATGCTGGAGAAGGGGAGGCCCTGGGGTTTGGGGGATCACAGCCATCACAGCAGTGAGAGGTGGGGGGTTCTGCTCCCTGCTCCACTCACCCACTGCTTCACCGACTTCACTTGTGCCAGGAAGTATCCCACGTCCTCTGTGGACTTTTCCCACATGATGGAGCTGCTGCCAGCCACAGCCAGAGCCCAGGCTGGCTCCAGGGCAGGCTCAATGTTGCCATAGCTGTCTGCAGGGCACACAGAGACACAAACAACATCAATTCTGGCTGTTCAGCTGAAAAATGATGAACCACAGAGCACTTTGGCCTGGCACAGGCTGGTCCTGGGATGAGACTCTTCCCTCTGACGTGTCACAGGGAAAAGGGAGGAGAACGATGCTAAAGCTGCATCCCAGGAAAGTGGGAAAGTGTGGCAGGACTGACATTGCCAAAAGACAACACTCACAGGGTCCCACAGTGGGGTAAGAACCCCAAAATCCAGGGTAATGGAAGTCTTTACCTAGCTGGGAGGAAGAGATGGAATTTTTCCAGGATGGAAAAGTTCTGTTAGTCATGCCCAGTGAATTTCCAGCCACAGCTGGGGAGGTTGTGGCTTAGGGCTCTTGTTATTCCTGGAGGGCATTCTGCATTTACTTGAATTTCAAATGGTGCTTTTAAACCCAAACCACCTTCCCAAGGTGGTGCTGATGCCAGTGTTAAATGCAAGGGGGTTTTGTTCTCCCAGAGGATCCCTGGAAGGGGGAATGTTTTGACAGCACTGTGGTTTCAGGGTGCTGCTGTAAATAAGGTGTCTCCTTCCAGTGCATGTGTTTGCTTGTGTTCTTCACAGTGCCCTGGGAGATAAAATGAAATACAGCTGACTGGCTGGAGGAATGTACCTGGAATATTTCTCCCAGTTATTGGTTTGGTTTGCTGCCTGATCCTTTGGTAGAGTCTGTTGTCCTCTTCCTGGATTTCATTCTGGTCTTTGGTGTGTGAGCACTTGATGCTGACAACAGGAGGAGACTTTTTCCTTGGATACAACACCGTGGCCAGGCAGCTCCCAGCGTTTTCCTGTCAAGGGAGTGTTTAAAACTCTTACCTTTGATCAAGATTTTAGTTACCAGCAATTCATTCTTTGGGTGAAGCTGCTCAAGGGTCAGGAAAGTCTTCAGAAGGATATAATTTTTTTCCCCAGGAAAGTAAATGGTTTAAAACCATGAGGCTGAAGGGACTTAACAGAAGTTTTTGATTAATGCACTAAGTCATCTTGGAAATGTGTTTGAGGGTTTCAAGAAATAGCATTAATTGATAACAGGGACTTTCACTGTATTAGCCTTGAAATGAAAATAATCTAATGCTTCATATTAAGTTCTGAGAATAGTTGGAATTCCACAAACTGTGTGTGAAGGAAGAGGGCAGGAAAATTGCTGGTGACAAGTGACAGGGAGAGTGGAGGGGATTAGAATTGAGAAGAACATGCAGCTGTCAGCTCGTTATTCCCTTTCTGGGGTGTGGACAGCAGGAGCTGCAGTGGGATAATGAGCACAGTGGGATAAAGAGCACAGAGGGATGATGTCCCCAGTGGGATAACAAGGACCAGGCTGTCACACTCTCACTGAGCTTGGGCCACTGGGAAGCTTCACTCAGGCCCTTGGTTGCCTGAGGTGACTTGAAATCCTTCAGGATTGAGGGCTGAGGATCTCTCAGGTGCTCCTCGGGGCAAAGCCCCTGCCAGGCAGGTCTTTCCATTGGGAAAGATCCGTTTCCTAAGCTCATAAATGTCCCTGTTTTGGAGCTGCTGAAGTTCATTCCATGCCCATGGGCAGAGGGAACACAGAGGACCCCAAACTCACCCCAGTCCTGTAGTCTTCTGTGCTGAACTGCAGGTAATACTTGTGCCCAAAGTCTGGGATGTTCTGGAAGAGAAAAGGTTCAGCCATCAGTGGAATAAAGCTTTATTTATGTGCTGGGACAAGCAGTGAGGAGGGGAAACAATCATAAATAACCTGCACACCAAGGGGTGTTTGAAAGCCTTTCCTCACTGAGGGGCAAGAGGGAAAACCCAGCTCAAAGTGCTTCCTGGGACAGATTGTTCCAGAGTAACTTCACCAATACTGATATTCCCAGGGAATGTTCAGTGTCCAAGGAGGTATTTTTGCCCTGACTATCATATATAAATGAATCCAATCCTGCTGAATCACAGCTGAACAGGAATTACACAGGCTCATTTAATATCTAAGCTTTTTGGTCATTGGTGATGGGAAAGAAACCGGTTTCACCACACAGATTCTGCTCTGTCTGCTCTGGTTTGCCCTGAAAATACCAGTCCTGAAGGATCCCATTCACTTATCCAGGATTCTGCTTGGTAAGGAATAATAAAAGATAACTCCTTGCTGAGGGGAAGCAGCCAGGAGGACAAAACACCTGAAAAGCCTTAGAAATGCACACCTCTGAAATGTGTAATTTCCTTGGATTTGGGGGTTTTTAACTCGAGGATTTCAGTCAACAAATGGCCCTTTTAGTGTGGGATCTTCTGTCTCAGCTCCAAGCAGGCTGAAACAGAAACTATCTTTTAATATTGGCCATAAAAAACACTCATTTCCCTGGGATTACCTCATCCAGTTGTGCAAGAGCAGAGCCCAATAACAAGTCTTGGCATTATCTGCTCTTTATTTCGTGGTCAGTCTTTTATTTTCCTGCCAACTTTTAGACTGAGCTCTGAAATATCTGTATTTTTGAGTGTAAGGGCACTCATCTGTTCCCTTTCCTTGGGTTTTAAACACAATGCTCTTCAGAGGAGCAGGAGGGGAATTGTGGCTGTTTGCAGCAGATCAGGAGCCAAAGCAAACGTGGGGTTGTGTTTCTCTAACCTTGAGCCCTCCCGTTCCCTTCCCAGTTTCTCCCAGGAAGTTGTTAATGGCACAAGGTTGGTAAAACCCCACACCCACGTGCCTGGAGTTCCTGCCCAGAGCTGTAAACTGCAGGTAAGAGGACAAACTGCTTTAGTCACTTGTTCTATATCATAAAACCCCCTCCTGAAAGTTTAGGATGAGTCCGGTGTGGAGCTGGAGCCACATCCCACTGGGAAGAGGGTGGAGGAAATGGAATGAGCTCAAATTTCTTTAATTCCTTTCTTCTTTTCCTCCTCTTCCTCCTGCCCCTTTTTGTGTGTTGCCTGAAATATTGTCCTCAAAACGGCAGCGGATGTGCCATGAGGGGTCACTCAGCATAGCAAAATGGCAAAAACTGACTTTCTGAAGTGCCCAAGAATCAGAAATTAAGTGAAATTATAAGGAAGAAGGGTCTAATCTCTCACAATAATCACTGCAATTAAGGCTAACTTTCTGATTATTGTAAAGCTACCCCAGAGCTGTTATTGCAGGGGTTTATAATGTTCCTAATTTGATCAAATTTGGGTATTTTGAAGCACAGTGAGCCAGGCCTATTCCCTTTGGGTCATCACTGCACACGAGAGAACCTGAAAGGGTCAGGGCTTGAATACAGAATTCTGTGCTTTGGAAGGAGATATTTTTGAAGATGTTTTTTAAGCAGATATTCTTCCTTAATTTGCAACAACTCCACCATAGTACTACTAGTAGGTATTACTACTACTTCTGTACTACTACTACCTAGAAAGCTTTCAAGAGGTGCCCCACAGCTAAAATACAGGTTCAGGCTGGGGGGGCTTCTTTGAGCCCCCCAGAGAGGAGGGAGAAGGTCCATTTGTCAGGAAATAATTGTACATTTGTGAAAGTATTTGTAGGTTCGAAGAAAAACATCACTTTTCTTTCCATTATTATTTCCCACTGTCATCTGTAAACCCTCCCAGAGTGTGAGTCCCTCAGAGCTCAGGGATATCTGAAAGCAGCCAAAGATGAAAGTGTCCAAAAGAGAAGAAAACAAGTGAGTAATTCATTTTTCCACTGAATATCTGGGTCACAAGGTTGTTTTATTTCCAGGCTCAGGATTCTTGCAGCTCTTCATGATGGATTTTTAGTGCCGTGGAGGCCAAAGCAGCAATTTCAGAGCAGGTCCCAAGGGAGGGATTCATTTTACAATCAGTTTACAATCAGTTTACAATCACTGCTCTCACAGGAAGGGGGGATCCCTCTCTCACCCCAAACTGCAGGTTTCCATCTCTCCTCCTCTGTGTTTCCCACCAGCATTTTCCCCCTGGATCCAGTTTTTAGCCAGTTTTTTAAGCAGGAAAAGCTGGAATTGCAGAGAGAGGAGGGTGAGCTGTCCCTGCCATGGATTCTGCCTTTCCCACCCTAACAGGGGGCTCTCACTGTTGGAAATAAGAAAATAAGCAATTATTTAATTGACTTTTAATATTAAAACCAGGGTTGTGGTATTGCACTGTTTTGTGTCCAGGTGAGGTTGTGAAGAGAAATATCCACCTGTAAAATGGGATTTTCTAGTCCAGTTTAATCCAATGCTGCAGTTTAGCCACAAGATCACCTGGCTTTACCTTCACCCTTCACCTCCTCCTAACTTATGATTTCCAGGACAGCTTGGGATGGGAAATGCTACATCAGTGTTTTGAAAGCTTCCTTCTTGACTGCTGGGATCTTCAGCTGGCACAAGCTGATACTTTTCTTATCTCAAGTGTATTTTAAAGTGCAGCTGTTTCAACAATTCCATGAGCTGCTGTTTCCTAGAGGATCCTCACTTCAGAAAAAAGAAGGGACAAAACAAAGAGCAACCAGCAAGGCAGGGATTATTCCATGTTTGGCATCTCTCTGCTATTTGTTGGCAGGAGAGAAAAGCCCTGAAGTCTCATTTTACCTGAACATGAAAGATCCTTTGCAGGCTGGGGACTGTCTCCAGTCCTGTTTCCAATTACCAGTTTCACCAGCTAGTGGGCTAATAATGTCAGGATTAAATTACAATGCTCATTATTGAATTCCATGATAAAATCATCCTGGTTTTATGGGATCCAGTGATTCAGTAACCAAAAGGAAATTTGCCTTGTTTAAAAAAATTACTACAACCCAGACAAACTGAAAACCCCCAAACCCCAACATTTCTGCCTCTTGCCTTCACCTAATAGAGCACATTCCTTCCAGGAAATTCTTGTCATTTTTTTCCAGTGGAGGACAGAAAAGAAGGAAGTGACCACGTTTAGCACTTTTCTCCTCTTGTTTTCACAGAGAGTGCAAAGAAAAAGGGGAATTAAACTGCAGAGTGTGGTTACAGTGAGCGCCTCATCCAGAGCTGGGAGGAAATAAGGAGGAATTTCACTTCTCTATAACAAACCAACTATTCTCCTTCCTATATTAGGAATCAGGTGGCTGAGAGTGGGGAGGGGAATCCCTTTCCCTCCCCCCAACCCAAACTAGTTCACAAATATTCACAAATATTCAGCTGGGAAGGGGATCTGCACCAACCCCTTCCTGCTGATAGTCTCTTTCCTAAGGAATTGCAGTGCTGCCAGCTTGTCCTTCAGCCAGGCACAAGTATTTATATATGGAAATATATCCATATATCCATATGCAAACTGCCCAGGAAATACAGAAGGAGCATTTATCCATTTGGAAAGAAGTATAAAACAGCACAGGAGGTTCCTGTCAGGGGTGTCTGCAACAATTCCGTAGGAAAACTGAATGTCCCACGAGCAAGTCCATACTCAGCACCCAGTAAGTTCTATTTAATGGCATATTTGGGAATGATGATGAGAACACAGAGTTACCTAAAGGGCTTGATTCCAGGTGAATCCATAACAGAATTCCCAGGCAGGGCTAACACTGTCTTTCAGCCTTGCATTACACCAAAGTCTCATTTTTTTCACAGTATTTTGTGTTTTGTCAGATTTAATTGGAAATTATTTTGACCTGTTAAACATCGTGTGCAAGTCAGGCTTCAAATTGTTTTGGAGCCACTGCCAAGTGGGATTTATGGGAAGGATTCAGGATCAGGACTGCAACAGCACATCCTAAACTTTTTAGGCTGGCTCAGAACTTCTTTCTTGAAAGGGAAGATTTGACATTCCCAGCTTTAGGAGAGAGGGCCTGGATTGCACATGCTGTGCAGACACTGAAGGACAAGTGTTGTGAGGTCTCCAGAGCCCTGGAAAAGATCCAGTGGAATCCAGTGCTGCATTTGGCCCTTTGGAATCCAAACCTTGCTCAGGGAGCTGCCCAGCAGCAGGACCCGAGGGCTGGGTTTAAATCTCATCCCCTCGGCTCTCCAGGAAGGCAGTGCTTTCCTTCCAGGATCTACAGCCTGGGACAAATATTTTGTCCCAGAAGCTTTTGCCTGATTTCTTGCCTTCAAAACTGATCGAGCTGTGAAAAAAACACCAAAGCTGGAGGAGGAGAAGGGCTGCACAGCACGGGGCTCATCCTTTGGGGAGCAGAGTCCATGTACCCCGAGCACCACCCCGGGCATCCCTGACAGGATCCGTGACGGGAAGGCTCTGCCCCTGCAGCTGCTCCTCTCGGGGACTCCTGCCCCTTTCTGTCACCTCAGAACAGTCAGCTGTGTTTTCTGATGGGAACTGCATCGTCTTTACATGAAGTTCTTGGTCTGAGGAAGGGGCGGTGGCACAGCATCCCCTGACGGGACCTGGGTGTCCCCTGAGAGGCCGCGGGTGTCCCTGAGGAAGGGATGGTGGGACAGTGGTCCTGGAAGGGACTCAGGTGTCCCTGAGGAACGGGAGTTGGGACAATGGTCCCTGAGGTGACCCAGGTGCCCTGAACCACCTGAGGAAGGGGCGGGAGGACAGCGGTGCCCTGAGGGGACCCGGGTGGCCCTGAGGAAGGGGCCGCGGGACAGCGGCCCCTGAGAGGGGCGGGAGGGCACCCCCGGTGCCCAGCGCGGGACAGCGCCAACCTCAGTTATATATAATAACCATATAATAATTACCGCTAATTGCAGCTATATCTAATAACAACAATATAATAATTACTGTTCACTGCACTTTCCCCAGCGTCGCCCTAAGCTCCGCGTCCCTCCGGCCCCTCACCGCCCCCGCTCCCCCCGTACCTTCACGGCGGCCTTGCGGAGCTGCCCCAGCGCCCGCAGCCCCCCGGGCGATCCCGCCTTGAAGTTGAGGTACTGCAGGGCCACCCTCGCTGCCGCCGCGGCCCGGCGGCTCCCGGGATCCAGCTGCCGCCCGGCGCCGGGATCCGCGGGGACGGGAGCGGGGAGCAGCAGAAGGAGGAGGAGGAGGAGGAAGGCGGGCGGCCCGGGCGCGGAGCGGAGCCCGGGCATGGTGAGGGGAGGCACTGGGGCGGCCCCGCGGAGGTCCCGTACTAATAGCGGGGGGCCCGTCCCCGCCCGCTGTCAGAGCGGGCAGAGTCCCGTCCCTGGGCTACTCCCCTTCCCTCAGCCCTCCCACCTGCCCGGGGGGACGGGGCAGATGGAAGGGGAGGGTGCTGAGGGAACCAGGGGGGCCGGAGGGGAGCCAGGACTGCAGGGGTGCCCAAGGGGGACCGGAGTTTCTGAGGGGAGGTGGAGGGACTTGAGAGGGGCTGGGGATGATTCTGAGGGCAGCCACGGGGTGGGGGCTGGAGAGGAGCCAGGACTTGAGGGGTGCCAGGGTGCTGAGGGGAGATGAGGGGTGCGAGGGGTGAGTAAAGAGGGGGCGAGGGTTCTGAGGGGAGACGGAGAGGACCTGAGAAGGGCTCGGGGTTGCCTGAGAGGAGCCAGGACTTGAGGGGTGCCAGGGTGCTGAGGGGAGCCAGGGGGACGTGAGTGGGACCGGGGGTACTGAGGGGAGCCAGGGGGATTTGAGGGGAGCCAGGGGGAGTTGAGGGGGACGGAGGGTTCTGAGGGGAGTCAGTGGGTTTGAGAGGTGCCAGAATACTGAAGGAAGCCAAGGGCATTTGAGGGGAATGGAGGTTCTGAGGGGAGCTGGAGGACTCGAGGGGTGCCAGGGGGGACTTTAAGGGGACCAGGGGTTCTGAGGGGAGCCAAGTGGGGAACTCGAGGGGAGCCAGGGGGGTCTGAGGGGTACCAAAGGTTTTGGGGGAAGACGGGGATTTGAGGGATGCCAGGGCTTGAGGGGGACCAGGAAAGTCTGAGAGGAATACAAGAGAGACTTGAGAGTGGCTGGGGGGTTATCTGAGGGGAGCTGGAGGGGCTTGAGGGGCACTGGGGGCTCTGAGGGCAGTCAGGGTTTTCTGAGGGGGGCTGGGGGTCCTCAGACAACCCCTCAGCCAAGAGCAACATCTGTGTGAGGAGAAACTGCTGCTCCCAGACAGATGTGCCCCCATAACGACACGGATCAGAACAAACACAGGTAATTATGTGGAAAAACACACTTAGCTCCTTCTCAGCGTTACAACAACTCAACACTTCCCAAAATTACAGAGGCTCCTTCAGACCCAGACGTGCTTTCCCCAGGACGCAGCTGAAATATTCCAAAAACTGTGCACGAGAAGCAGAGGGAAGCATTCCTCCCTGAAATAAATCTCGCTGAGTGAAGCTTTTTGGAACCAGTGTGGTCATGTCTCTTGTAACGGGAAGAAAATGAACTGAGACAGCAGCCAGATTCCCTTAAGATGGTTTTTGGGATACAAGTGGGCTTGTTGCCTTGCTGCTCCTGGAAGCATCTCTTGGAGACACTGAATGTGGTAAAATGTAAAAGACTGCAACCCTTCCTGTGTTAAATATGTTGGGTTTTAATGACCTACTCTGTTACCATCCAAGCAAATGGGTATTTGCATGTGCAGCTGGGAATCTATTTTTATGCTTCTGGATGTGTACTGGGGAATATTTCTGGGATGGGACCTCAGAGAAGTGAATCAGAACTCTGGTTAAAGACTTAAACTGCCTCCCGTGAAGCTTTAATTCTCTTTTTATTACTGTAATGCTTTTTCACAGAACTTGTAATTCAGTATTTCTGAGGCTTCCCTCAGTGAGGGAAATTACTACAATTTTTACATTATTACGACTATTACAATAAAGGTATAATACCATTCTTTATAACGCTGTTTTCTGTGCCACACAGCTCAATAAATGGTCCTAATTTTGTTTGAGATCATGATTTTTCTTCCTGAAATAAATTCTGTAATTGAGAGTTGGTATCTTCACATCCATGTATCACATAGGACAGGTTGGACTGGGGTTGGAGCAACCTGGACTAGTGGAAGGTGTCCCTGCCTGGTGTAAAATTTAGGAGAGGGAGCAGGCTAATTTTTTCCTTATTGGGACACTTGCCATGTTTGTCTCTGATATTTTCTGTTTGGCTGGAAGGAACCAAGATCCGGCCTTTCCTCATTTACCCTGGCTGTGATGACAGCTCTGATATTCCTTTTAAAATGAAATCCAAAAGGGTGAGCGATTCTCCTCAGCTGACACGGGAGGGGTTTGGGCAGTGCCGGTTGTTTCCCGATGTTCCCTTCGTGCCCTCGCAGCACCCCCTGGATGCAGGATGAGCCCTGAGGATTTCCTGGGAGCAGGGGAAGTGCAGGTCCAGGGAAGGGAAGCAGGGAGGTGGAGCAGGATCAGCGGTGAGAAAGGCTTTGGTGCAGGATGTGAGGAGGGTGGGGTGGCAGGAGGTGAGGGCTGAGGGAACCCAGCCCCTCCCGCTCCCATCCCTGTGCTCATGAGCTGCAGCTGCTCCAGGGAAGGAGTTAAACCCACCCCGCACTCAGGTTTCACACTCACAGCTCTGCTGCTTTAGGGTTTGGGGGAGTTCAGAGGCTCAAGTGAGAGGTAAGACCTTAAAAAGAGGTAAAATCTTGTAAATCCAGCTTTTTCTCTCCTGCAAGCCCCTGGAGGGTCAGAGCTGAGCCCTGCGGCGCTGACCCCATCCATGACTCTCCGTGCCCTTCCCTTTCCCTCGGGTTCCCCTCCTTTTCCTGCTTTCTGGGCAATGATAGGGCTGTTTCCTTCCTCCCGAGGGCAACAAAGGGGCTGTGAGAGCCCAGGGTCGGGGTGACGGGCACAGAACCCTCGTCACAGAGCAGGGACAATCCCGGGGCAGTTTCCTAACATTTCTGCAGGGATTATGCTGCTGTAGTTTGCTGTTGATCCAACGTGACCCTGAATTTACAAAACAATTTGACCCGGGGAAAACAAAAGCTCAAATCCTGAACAGGTCCGGGGGGATGTTTGTAAACACGGACAAGCGCAGGTTGTAAACATGAACAAGAACAGTTTGTAAACATGGACAAGCACAGCTTTTGTGACTCCACAACATTCAGAAAAGGTACTTATTTTAAACCCTGTTGTTTTTTGACCCTTAAAAGCTGGGAGTGCATCCTCCAGCAGCCAGGCCTCAAGGTAGGCTGGTTCAGGCTCTTGGGTGCCAGCAAAATGAAGCTCTACAGTGTGCAAGATCCGAATAAAAGGAGCTGAAGTGAGTGATCCATCCCGTGGGAGGAGTCCAGAGGTGACACCAAGATGATCAGAGGGATGGAGCAGCTTTGCTGTGAGGAAAGGCTGGGAGAGTTGGGAGTGTCCAGCCTGGAGAAGAGAAGCTTCAGGGTGAGCTAAGTGTGCCTAAAGGGGCTACAAGAAACATGGAGAGAGACTGTTGACAAGGGATGGAGTGACAGGACACAGGGAATGGCTTCCCACTGCCAGAGGGCAGGGTTAGATGGGATATTGGGAAGGAATTTTTGGCTGTGAGGGTGGGGAGGCCCTGGCACAGGTTGCCCAGAGAAGCTGTGGCTGCCCCATCCCTGGGAGTGTCCAAGGCCAGGTTGGACAGGGCTTGGAGCAACCTGGGCTAGTGGAAGGTGTCCCTGCCCATGGATTTGTTGGACTTTAAGGTCTTTCTGGCCCAAACCATTCCATGATCCATATATTCTAGTTAGGTACAGTCTGGTGTATGTAGGCTCTGTCCTTCTTTAGCATTTATTCCCTCTCATCCCAGTTAACCTGGTCCAGGCTCACACAGGACTGGTGTCAGTTCCTGAGCCTCTCTCACTCTTCTCTGCTCTGTTCCCCTTCAGAAACCAGGACACTCTGGGAAATGTCCCAAGTTTGCATCCCGCTTGTGTCACAGCTGACTTAGACCCTTTGGAAATGGAAATGAGGGTTGTTCCAGGCAGCTGCTCCAAAAAGCATTCTGAGGTTTGCATTTTCTCTTTTCATACATCAAATGCTTGTTTAGAGGCCAGTTATTGCTAATTTGCTTCATATTTGAAGGATATTTCTATACCCTTTGTATAGAACAGACCTCACTGGCTCACAATCACTACCAGATGACTGTAATGTCATACAATGAATTTGGACAAAATTCAGTTTATTTTGTTGTGCAACTTTTCCACTTTTATCTTCACCATCTTGCTATAATTAAGAACAAGCTCTGTTACTTGATTTTAATTGAATTGTTTAGGGCTTTTTTTTTTACCCTCATCAATAATTATGGCTTGATTTAGTCTCCATAATTAGTCCCAAGATCTTATTTTTAACTAGTTTCCAAATATTTTGCTGGATAAATCAAGGACAGTTGATCTTCTAATGCACTGCTGGGCTGACCTTGCCTGTAGGCACAAAAATATGTGTGTTGGTTTAGTGTGGCTCATTTTTTTCAGGGTAATTCGGCTTCTGATTTTTTTTAAATCACAAACAGAATTTTTTTTTAAAGGGAAACATTTATGTTCAGTGTCAGCAGAGACAGACCCCAGTCTTTTTACAAAAGGGCAAGTTATGTTAAAGCCAAAGTAATTCTCTTATGTTTCAAGCGCAGAGTAGACAAGTTTTCTGAAAACCTGTTTATTGTATGATTGGCCTATGGGGAAGTTTGTAATAGCTCCATAGGGAGCTAGGAAAAGATAAACAAGAAGAAAGAAAGCAGCTGAAGCCCAGAAATAATCTCTGTGACAGGAATTACCACCAAGACCTTTCACTTGGCCTCCTGTTACACTTCTGGTTTTGACCAGAATTGTTAGAGTAGGAAATGAAAAGTGAAAGGACATGAAAACCATCGCTTAAATGCTGTATTTTGGGTCAGAACAGGAATGATCACGGAATTCCAGAATGGTTTGGGTTGGAAGGACCTTAAAGCTCAACCAGTTCCACCCCTGCCATGGGCAGGGACACCTTCCACTAATCCCAGAGTGCTCCAACCTGGCCTTGGACACTTCCAGGGATGGGGCAGCCACAGCTTCCCTTGGCAACCTGTGCCAGGGCCTCTCCACCCTCACATTCCTTCCCAGTATCCCATCTGATCCTGCCCTCTGGCAGTGGGAAGCCATTCCCTTGTCCTGTCACTCCAGGGCCTTGTAAATTGTCTCTCTCCATTTTTCCCGTTGGCTCCTTCAGGTCCTGGAAGG